TTCCCCAGCCAGCCATGAATTCTGGGAGTTGAAGTCCACCCATCTGAAAGTCGCGAAACACTGCCCTAAAGGCTAGCAAAGAGCCAGGATCCAAAGGCTTGTCCTCTAGAGGGGGGAGTCAACGGGGGGGGGGGCGAAAGCCCAAGCATGGAATGGCAAGGAAGGGGATTCAGGGAGACGTTCAGAGGGACCTCCTCAGGCGAGAATGCGGCTGCCTCCTGAAGTAAGTTCCCCTTCAGGCAGAGCGGACAGGCAGATCCTGCAGTGAGCACGGGCTGGACGAGGTGGTCTCTGACGTCCCTCCGCCTCCAACGAGCCTGCACGAGCGCTCAGCCAAAGACACTCCGGGCAGACGCGACGGCCGTGGCCCTTTCAGCGTTCCAAAGGCCTCTCTGGGGCCGGTGGGCGAGGAAGAGAGCGGATCCCGGAGGAGGAAGCCGTGTGGCCAAGGACAGGCTGGATCTGGATCCTGGCAAAGCAGCAACCAGCTTTGCAGAGGGGGAGCTGGCCAGCCCTTTCTGGCCAGGATTTGCGCATCCTTGCAAAAGCTGCTTCTGGAGGCAGGGCGTGCACACCCAAGAGTGGCTGCACGCCCACAACACCCTTGACCCGACTCTGAGAAGCCACTTAATGGGCAGTGCAGCCCTGGGGACCGAAGTGCTGCCAGGTTGCTTCAGCTCTCCCCGGGGTGGCAGTCTTGGGCGGCTGCCAACCGCTTTGCCCAGAATGTTTCTGGCTTGGCTGAAATTTTGATTATAAAAAGGATCTCTGGGTTGGAGCCACCGCAGATTTGGGGGCAGGCTTGCTTGCCGGGAGATCTGGTGAGGTGTGGGGAGCAAGTGGGCTGCCCTCTGGGGGAATCGGGGGCAGGTCTGGGCACCTTCCTGGAATAACGGATTGAAGCGGGGGCAGATGCCAACTGAACGTCAGAGAGGGCTTCTCAAAAGGAGCAGCCAAGAGTGACCCAGAGGTCGGGAGCTCCCAGGCGCCGCAGCCGTTCCGCTCAGTCTGGAATGCTTTCCTGCCCCACGCGGGGGATCGGACTGGATGGCCTCCGCACCCCTTCTCATCTTCTGCAGCCTTCTCCCAACCTGGGGAGGAGGAGGACTGCAGGTCCTATAATCCCACCGTGCTGACTGGGGATGCGAGAGGCAGTCTCCCTGAGCAACAATTTGGACCAGTTGCCCCCTTCCAATTTGGAGGCTTAATGGCATGCTCGGGCTGCCTGTAACCTGGTTAACCATGGCTGGTGAGCAGGGCAACATCTCTCCACTTCTCAGAGCTGCCCCTAAATAGGCGTTTTTCTCTTCTGGCAAACTCTCCACCTACACCCTAAAACCTGCAAGGTATTTGTAGACTTTAAACTTGCATGACTGCTTTTCCCACAATGCACAGCACTGCTTCCAAATACGATTCTGGGGTGCTGCTTGTCTGGAATTAAAAAAAAGTGGGGGCCGTGAGAGTATGACGCCACGCTCCAGGCCAGGGAGAAGACGCCTGCCACAGCAACTCACAAGTAGCAGCCTTCGGGCTACCAACCCGGCCTGGTTGTGTCCCACATCCCAGAGTAAAATGGCAGAATGGGATACAAAACCCTGGAGTGGGACCCCTGAAGCAGCGGGCAGAAGGCTGGGTGAAGGGATAACCTTTGCCATCGTGGAAACCCGGCAGCCCTGCCTGCCCACGCTTCGACCAAGCTTTCTGCAGAGAAAATGTGAAGGGAGGGTCACCAAATGGCCACAAAGGACATGAAAAAAATCCCATCCGATCGACCCGCTAGTTGCTGCAACAGGGGAGGATCCTCGCTTACCTGCTGGCCGGAGTGGCTTAACTCCAGCAAACTCAATTTTTCTCCCAGAAAGGCCAGTTGGGGTGGGGCTGTCTGGCCAGGGAAACCACAGACCATCCCCACAGTGGAAGGAGACGGCGACACGGCTCTAGGGATCCTACTGGCCTGCTGTGTCACAAACCACTGAAATTCAAACTCCTGGGTCGCGTGAACCCATCCCGAAGTTAGCCCTTGGTTCAAGGGGGTTCCTGGACCAACCATGGTCACTGAGAGCATGTTTCGAACTGAGAACATGCCATGCCAACCCAACCCAGATGCCTTTGAGGCCCTCCTTCCCGAGCCAGCGGGGGGGCGAGTGCTGTCCGACTCCCCGGGACACAGCCAGATCTGGGAGAGCCACGACTGCAAGTCTGGAAGCTGTCCCCGTGCCCACCTTCTCAGGAGGAGCAGCAGCGGCTGCGTATACGATGGGCAGCTTCCAAGGAGCTGGTCTGAGACCCAAAAGCTCCCGAGCGTGGGGGCGGTCAGGAGAACAGCCCGCCTCTGGCTTGGCCTCCATCTGGCCCGGGAGGCACCGCCCCGGGCACCAAGGGCCCCCATTTCGCTGCCAAACCCAGAGACGACAAAGACATCCAGAGAGACACACTGAACTGACATGTTTTGCAAAAGAAGGTGATACAAAAACCAATGACCACCCCCCAAACTGCAGCCACGGACCAAACACCGGACGTCACACGGAGGAAAAGCTGGTTTCTTACAGTCACCTCAGCTGACACTGAGCTCCACAACACTGAAATTCATATCTAACTCAACCAATATTTACAAAGATACCTTTAAAGAAAAAACCAACACCACCACAATGATGGGGGGGCGGATCTCTGAAATCCTGGAGTGTGCAAGAACTGGGGAGCCGGGCAACACAAATCCTGCTGGAACATCACACCGTGAAACCACACTACGCAAGCGCTGAGCATGGGAGAACAGCAGCCAGAACCCCTGGCTGACGTGGCTCTCGCTTGGACGCACGCGCTTGGCACAGGACCAAACGCAGTTCCAAAATTAAAACGAGAAATAGACAGACACGCTGACCAAGAACGAGGACCTGGGAAATGGGGGCTGGGGTATCCAGTTCCATGGAGGTGTGTAAGGACTGGGAGCCCCGTCCTGACTGGGCAGGACTGAGGGACACAGAGACCGATTTGCTCGCTGGAGCCTGCCACGCCCCACATCCACCTCCCCAATCCCTGCACCGCACTGTGCAGTCTGGAGTGTGTGTGTGTGCGTGCGCGGGTACAGGTGCACGCCACAAGGAGGACTCCCATGGCCAGTGGGCATGGCAGAAAAATGAGTGGAGGTTTGGGGGGGCTGGAGGGAGCAGGAGGGAGTGTTTGCTGCCCCCTTCTTAACCCCCCCACGCATGCAGGGAGGTTCGTTCTCTGAAAACGACACAGGCTGGGCGGGCCACAAGCCTTTGCAGGCCCACCCAAGTGCAACGGGCGCCTGAGCCTTGAGTGGGAGCAGGGCATAGCTTTATGTCTCGGCATCAAGCAGGCGTGCCTGGCGCAGGGCAGAGGAGGCAACTAGCACCCCGGCGGTTCCCCTCCGGCTAGGACTGCTCTGGCTTCAGGCCCATCAGGCCCGCCTGCGTTCCCAGCATCAGGTGGCGCATCGCGGGGTTGCGGGTGTGGATTTTCTGGTGGCAGTTCAGCGATTCCTTGTAGCGGAAGTTCTTCCCGCAGGTGGCGCACTGGTAGGGCGTCTCGCCCGTGTGGACGCGCCAGTGCTTCAGGAGATGGTCCCGCCGGATGAAGCTCTTCCCGCACTCCGTGCACTGGTAGGGCCGCTCGCCCGTGTGGATCCGCTGGTGCCGCACGGCTTTGGAGAGGTCGCGGAAGTCCTTGCCGCAGTATGTGCAGGTCAGCGGCCCATCGCCCTTCCCCGCGTGGAGTTTCTGGTGGAGCAGCAGGCTGACCTCCAGCTTGAAGCTCTCCTTGCACTGGGTGCAGGTGTAGGGCCGTTCCACCATGTGGTTGCCGGGCCGCTTCCCCGCGCTGGGTCTGGACGTCGGGCTTCTCTGGGGCTCGGGGCGCTTGGGCACCTTGGCCCGTGCGGGAGTCGGGGCCCGCTGGATGGCGAGGGGGGGCAGCTTGGCCTCCGGGCCTCCTTCGGGCTCCGGCACCGGGTACGCCCCTCCTCCGCCATGGCTCTTCTGGTGGCTGGCAAAGAGCTGCTTGTCTAGGAAGCCTTCTCCACACTCGCAGCAGATGAAGGGGCCGGCGTGAGCTTCTGCGGCTAGTGTTGCAGAGTCCTCTTTCTGCGCCTCGGGCACCCCTCGTGCTGACCGCCGGAGGCCGCTCCCGGCAGGCTTCCTGGGCAGGGCGAGGGAGACGGGCTGGCTCTCACCCAGCAGCTCCTCTCCTGGGCCCTGGAACACTTCCGTCCACTTGCGGGGGAAGAGGCTGTCGCCGTCACCATCACCCTCCAGGAGCTGAGGAGCGCCTGGCAAAAGAAAGACCGTGGGTGGCAGAACAGGGAGATGCTCAGCTCACCCGGCTGCAGTGGCAAGGACTACCCTGCCCTCCTGCGCACTCCCCTGCTCAGCTCTTCACCAGATGAGCCAAAAGACTGGGCCAGGGCCCCTCTGGCTCCAAATCAGGGTCATTCCTTCCTGATCCCTTGGTGTGGCCCTCACCAGCACGTTTTCCCAGAAGAGACACATCTGTGCCACTCCTGAGCTCCCAGCTGGTCTGGTCAGAAAAAGGCCCTAATACCCAGAGAAAGAGTGCCAGGCTAGGGCTGGCAAACCATCCATTCAAATCCTCCCTCACCAAACTCACTGGGCACCAGAGCTAGCTGTTCCCTCTCAGACTAACCCCCTTGAGGGTCCCGCCTTCCTCTTCCTCTCTGTATCAGACAGCTGCTCTCCGCACTGCCCTTCGGCCGCTCACGTGCGCCTGCAGCATCACAGGTAAACTGCCACACCGGATGACTGGAAAAACAGTCGCCAGGGCCGATCCGGTCTTCCTGACTCCCGAGGATGTCTGGACTCCACCCTTCCCCAGGAACATTCCCATGTGATTTTCCAAAATACTGTGCTTTAGCTGGTGACCTGCCTCTGCCTCCTCCCCCAGCAACACTGTCTCCCCCTCCATCCCTCTCCGGTACCCCCTCCCCTCTTACCCATGGCAGAGTCCTCAGGGATTTCTCTGTCCTCTAAGCCCCCCAAGCCTTTGACGAGAGTCAGATCCTCTTGCTCCATCCAGGAACTGCTGTGGAGAGCCGAAATTGGAGATCCTGTCCAAAGGGGAGAAGACAAGGATCATCACCACCAGATCCCACACATTTCGAGGAGGAGACGTGGCTTCTGCCCCCTCCCCGCTCTACCTTGCATTAGCTAAAGCAGTTTTTTCCCCAAACTGGGCACCTTTAAGGTGTGTGGACTTCAACCCCCAGAATTCCCCAGCCAGCATGCTTTAAGATGGGTGGGCTTCATGCGGGCTGGGGAATTCTGGAAGTTGAAGTCCACACACCTTAAAGTTACCAAGTGTCAGGCCTAGCCCAAGGAACTCCAAGAGACAATGCAAAATCAGTTCAGCTATGTTTATTAGCTACAATCTCTAGCAAGAAACTCCCCAGACTGAACCCTAGCTCCCAAGCCAGCCAGCCACAACACTCTGAATTCCTCAGGGAGGTGCCAGCCTCATCCTCTTGTAGTTCCCACGCTCTTGCGGCGAGCTAAGAAAACGCTTATCTCCCTGAGCCTGGCCTTCATAATTCCATTCCATCACACCAAGCTTGAGAAACACTGCCCTGGATCATCGCACAACTTGGCAAAACAGTCCAAACGGAGCGCTTCTAGCCCACCTGGAGGAATCAGGCGTGACCGGAAGCTGCTTGCCCACCATCCCTCGGGGGCTCAGCTTGCCCACCCGCTCCAGCCACATCGGCCTCACCTCACCTCACCAGCCTCCTGCTCAAGGGGGTTCACAGAACATGTTTTAGAGTCTGCTGGCAGCTAGTTGGGCAGGGCTGATCATGTATGAAGAGTGGGCCGAGACCCTTTCCCATCCCAAACGGGAGGCCCCAAGTGCCCCGGCAGGGAAGGGCAGCCGGTGGCAAGAGAGACCCCCTCCCTCTCTGCTTCTTACGCTGACTCAGCTAAAGGCAGCAGTCGCTGCCTGCGTGGTGCGTGGGCTGCTCCAGACAACACCTTCTGGCATGTCCTGTCCTGTAGACCGGTCGAACATATTTGATTTACATCCCAGATTTCATTCCTGCCTTTCCTCCAGGCACCCAAAATGACGACCCTGCAGAGGAGGTTGGACCGAGGGAAACACTGGCCTTGGCCACAAGCCACCCTGGGAGCTTCTATGCCTCTGGGGAGTTCGAACCTGGGTGTCCCTGTCCAAGCCCAACTTTTTAGCCTACAGCTGAAGACAGATGGGTGGAAGAAGAGGACCAGAGCTCTTGATGTGGCTGCAGGAGGGGAGAGCAGCTCAGAAGGGTGGCTCCCTTTGCTCTGCTTTGGCCTGATGGCCTGAAGAGCCCGTGCTGGAGGGGAACCTCTTGCCCCGCCGAGAGCAAGGAGCAGTCACCCACCTGGCCTCTCACTCAAGCTGGACTCTTCAGGGAGCTCCTCTTCCCGGCCATCTGGCTGATCTGAAGCCTCTCCTTGCTCAATCCGGGAGAGGAGGTCCGGTTTGGAGATGGCCGCATCTGCGGAGGGGAAGAACCACATTAGTGGAGCCAGAAGGACTCACTTTGGATTCCGAAGGCCCTGGACGGGGAGCAGTGGCCCAGGGCCATCCGTCGGCCCCTTCCCTCGCTGGAGGCAGCCAGGACACACGCGGCCAGGAAAGGCTGGCTCTCCTGGCAAAGCCATGCAACGGCCCCAGGAGGGAAGAGCCCAGCCACAACTCCACAGAGCTGGACAGCGCCTGCCTGCAACTGGGCAGAGCAGCCGTAGATCCACACTCTGGCTCAGCATGGGGCTGCCTGGCCGCTTGCTCTCGGAGAGCCCGCGGTGCAGCTCACGCAGGCCCAATCTGAAGCCAGCCCACCCTTACCGACAGAAACCACCGCCTGGTAGTTCTGCTTCATGATGTCCCGGTAGAGGTCCTTCTGGCCTTCGTCCAGGCTCCTCCACTCTTGCTCCGAGAAACTGCAGGAGGTGTCGTCAAACTGCAGCGGGACCTGCAGCCACATGCAACAGGGCAAGAGCTCAGCGTCCTGCTCCTCAACCAGGCCCCAGAGGGTCTGAGGACCTTTTCTGCTTCAGCCTCTTCCTTGGAATCCAACAGGGAGCCCATGTTCCCCCCGGCCAAGCTGCACCCAACCAGCCACCGAAAGAGCGAGGCCGAGGCTGGGGAGGCAGTGGGCTCCGACTCTCTTCCTCCCATCTCGGGTGCCCCTTCAGACACAATGAAGGACTGGGAGCAAAGGGCCCTCCTTGCCGCCCTGGTGATCCTTTATATGCACTGGGCAGAGGCCTGCCTTCCAGTCCAGTGCAAAAGTACATTTGATGCCCTTCCACACCTGTCTGGTTGCCCAGAATCTCTTTTAAGCTTTTAAGGATGACCCACTTCCCAAAAATTCTTTCTCCCATTTTACACGGGTCATAAATAAACCCAGGAGTGATCCTAGGTAAGGACAACTATGAATCGGGGGGCATACCAGGCTGCCTCTCAAAGGCAAATCTTCATATTTTCCATGGCTCCGCTGGAATGACACAGCCAACCTGGTCAGCCCCCACCCAGGAGAAGCACCCAATCCCACATGCTGGCGCACGTAACCACGGGCCACCTTTGATGGCCTCCGAGCTGTCCTGCCACCACTTCTTAAAAATATTCTGGGCAGAGAAAGAGAAGGCTGTTTTTGTAGGGCTACTCTGGGAGTTGGCTCCAGGGTCAAGACTAACCCTTCTAACCCGCCCGCATGGCTTCACTGTTCACGCAGCATCCTCGCCAGCCAAGGGCATCAGGCAAGCACAGCACCCTCCGCGTGTGGCTGAATTACAGCTCCCATCATTCCCGACCACTGGTTCCCTACCCTGCAGGACCCAACACCTGCATGGGCCCGGCACTCTCTAACCTTGGGGGTCTCCCCCTTGGAGCCCGGGGCAAGACGGAGGATCCAGAAGTTCCGGTTCTTGAGCAGGTTCTCCATGTTCTCCAGCCGCCGCTGCAGCTGCCCGTACTCCTGGATCAGCGTCCCCAGGGCGGCCCACTTGCTCTCCAGCTGGTTGCCGAACTCGACGGCCGTCTTCTCGCAGCCGTCCAGCTTCGTCTCGGCCATCCCCATCCTGCCCTCCAGGCTCATGAGCTGCGCGGCGTAGGAGTCCACCTTGCCCTCCACCGCTTGGATTTCCGCCACGACCGTCAGGGAGAGCTCGGCCGTTTCGGGAAGTACGTCCCCCACGGGGGTCTGCTCGGGGATGCCGAGGGGCTGAGCGGCTGCCGTGGGCTGGGGCTCCATGTCCCACTGAAGACCCTGCCGGCCAGGAGGAAGACAGACCGAGTCACCGTCCAGGAAAGGGCGGCCGAGGCCGTTTCCGTGCCAGATGTCCAGAAAAGGGCCACGGTTGCGGGTTCCCCTGCTTCACCTCCCGCTGGGCAGGGCAAAGGGCCGAATTCGTTCTGAGCGCCCAAACCCTGCCTTCCCCAGTTTAATCCTCGCCAAGCTTCGCTGCACGGCAAAGCCCCGGTGCGCTCGGTTAGGGAGTGCGGGAGTGAGGCGGCACCCCCACACACCCCGTAAGCAGTTTTGGGCGGCGGCAAAAGAGGGCCAGCGCCGGTGCGGCGGAGATACCCGCAAAGGGAGCTGCTGGAAAGAAA